AGAATTCATCTGTGACGTAGCACAATGAATATACCACTGAAAAAGAAGCTCTTTGAGAGGGCTTTCGAACATTCCGAAGGTGTTTTAATTACTTTCAAGGGCGTAGATGGCTGGGATGTCTACAACTGCTCGACGCCGTTTCTTTGGAAAGGTAAAAGACACATTTACGGCCGTGTGGAAAGACGCGATGAGTGGGCAAGCTCACATGTGAGCCCATTTGTTGAAACTGGCAAGGATGAGTTTACAGCCTTGCCGGGGTTCACGTGGAAGCTGGAAGATCCATTTATACAAAAAATAAACGGCGAATTCATTTTGGGGGGCACCCACGTCGTCAAAAAAGGGAAAACGGTCGTTTCGTACTGTGATTACTTTTTCCGGGGTCCCTCACCAACGCAGTTGCGTTTTTTCGCGTCTGGTCCGATGAATATGAAGGATATTCGTCTCGTGCAGCTCGCGAGTGGAAAGGTTGGAGTATTCTCTCGACCAAGGGAGGCGCATCATGCTAATATAGGCTTCGTGGTTCTCGACCACATCGATGAGCTTAATGAGGAGTCTGTTAAGCGGGCAACTCCACTTGATTTATTCGATAAGGGGGCCTGGGGCGGCGTGAACCAGGCCTACCTCCTCTTCAGCGGCAAGGTGGGCTGCGTCGCCCACTACAGCTATCGCACCACCGATCAAAATAACAACCCCCTTTCGGTTTATGTGAATTTTTCATTTGTTTTAGATCCCCAGACTTACGCCGTCAGCGATACGAAAATTATTGGTGCCCGAAAATGCTATCCTCCTTGCTCCGCTAAAAAGGATTACCTCATTGATTGCGTTTTTACTTCTGGTATTGTTATGCGCCCTGATGGACGCTGCGATTTGTATAGTGGGGTGGCTGATACGCATGAGGGAAGGCTCGTAATCGATTACCCTTTTCGCGATCACGGTAATATTGTTAATGACCTGTGCTCTGTACAGTCGCATTCTTCACTATAACTTAATGATTTAATAAAAACATAAAAATGCTTATCTTTATGTATCTATGTTTGTAGATAGACATATAATACAGTGTTCATAAACGATGGCGTTTTATTGCATTCAAATATACAACTTAATGTCTAATTTAATGGCGTTTATTGTATATCTATATCTTTATTTCGTTATATATATATATATATGCATACGTATGTTTGTGCAGGTATATTTTTACCTTTCTTGATTTAGTGTTCGGGACATTTGATGTACTGATCGTCATTATATGTTCTTTATTGCCTTTAGGGTGCTATTTTTATTATCTATCTTATTGCATGTACATAAAAAAAATTGAATATATTTCGTTTAGCAACTGTTCTTCCTGTATTTTTTTCCTTATATATTTAGTGTTTTCGCTACTGTTTCCTTCAACGCGTTTCTATTTTAACTCAAGCAATAGTCAGGTAGAAACAATATTTCGAATAATGATTGCAGACGCGAAGGCTTCTTTTGACAACGCGAAGCGTATTTATGAAAGTGTTTTGATCCAATTCAAGGGGGTCGACGGGTATGATGTTTATAATACCTCTGTGCCGTATACATACCAGGGAAAGATATATTTATATGGTCGTATTGAGAAACGCACGGAGTGGTCGGAATCCCGCGTGCGATTGTTTGTTCAATCAGGAAAAGATGAGTTTACTCTCGTGCCCAATCAACAAAACTTTCATCTAGAAGATCCGTTTGCTTCTAAGATACAGGATATGATGTTTTTTGGTGGTACTCGAGTTGTTAAGAATTGCGGAAATGTATCTTTGCAATACATCGATTTCTACAAAGGCTCAGTGGAGCGACCTTTCTACTATACCTGTGGTCCCGATCGGATGAAATACATTCGTCTCGTCAGACTATACGGGGGGGGTGTTGGGATATTTTCCACTCACAGCACAGCAAACCATTATTCGCCTAGCTTTACTACTATTGAAAAGTTAGAGGATCTGAATATGGATGTTATTGCGAAGGCTATGCCGCTCGACCTTGACAGCTTTGCTGATGCGTCTTGTGCAGTGCATCAGGCGTATTTATTGACAAGCGGCAAAATTGGATGTATCTGCCACCACGCCTACGAGGAGAAACGCGAAGAGGACTGCCCATCCACTGTGTACTGCATCACTTCTTTCGTGTACGAGCCTCGTACGAAAAAGGTGCTTGATATTCGCGTTATTGCCACGAGAAACTCCTTCCCGAATTGCTCACCCAAGGCACCGCACGTGGCGGATTGCGTATTTGCCTCTGGTGTTGTGATGCGAGAGGATGGGAGATGTGATTTGTACGCCGGGATAGGTAATTCTCATGAAGGGAGGGTGGTGATTGACTATCCCTTCGAGGGTCATGGCAATATCAGCCATGATGAGTTGAAGTTTTGATCCCAATCACACGGCATCATTCTTTAGATCGAATCAGCCATTGTGAAAAACCCTTACTCAGGTGAGAGGGAGATGGGGTTGGGTAAAATGTGCTATATTATTTCGATGCACGCAATCAAAAGTAAAGCTTCTCAAATATTATATACATGTATTAAACACTTTCATATGAAGCATAGCCTTTTTACCTTTTTCATTAACATTATCTGACAATCTTTTATATAATCTAGTAAGTCTCCTTATGTTACATCCATTCTTGGGAGTAATATGTTTCTCAGGACTTCATTATAAAATCCATGGTGATTAGCGCAGAGTTATAACTTAAAGGTTTCAAATTCATTTTTTCTCGAGCATCGGCGGTACTTTATCCATGAGTTTGTGGAACAATCACATGTTGATATTTTATTTCTAATGATCTAGCGACTTAGAGTAGAGAGAATAGGGGTTCAAAGATGGATCTCGTGGGGGGTCCCCATGCAGAAGTTAATATTTTTTTTTGAATTCCCTTCTTAATAAGCATCGGGAAGGCAAAGCAACGTTGCGTAGGGTTATAAATGGAAATATCTATACACTACTAGGAATCTACTTTTTGGAAGGATAGGAAGCTAATATGGTGAGGGAAACATACGAATAGGGAATGCAATAATTACAATCCCAAGGGCACACTTCTAACACAAGCTACCAAGGGAGAGGGGAAATAGAAAGATCTGTGATGGTGCAAAAGCTGCGATTATCAAAATCGAATACGAATATGTATGTTGTTGTTTAAATGCTGCTGGTGATATTTTGGTGTCATGGTATTCATCTTTATACCCATAGTGGAAGAAATTATGTGATGCTCTCTATAAGCTTTTTCTTTGTGAATATCTTGAAGTCTCACCAATAGTAAACCTCAAGTGATAATTACGATGCCAACTTTACAGATTTTGAAGGAAGCTAAAATAGTCTTCGAGGAGAAAAAGCACATTTATGAAAGCGTGTTGTTAACCTTCAAAGGTGTGGATGGCTGGGATGTATATAACTGTTCCGTGCCCTTTTTCTGGAAAGGCAAGAAGCACATGTACGGTCGCGTGGAAAAGCGCAGTGAGTGGGCAAGTTCGCACGTACGCCTCTTCGTTGAAACTGGTAAGGATGAGTTTACAGTGCTCCCAGAGGGAATGACATGGCTTCTGGAAGATCCATTTATACAAAAAATCAACGATATGCCGATATTTGGAGGTACGCGGATCCGAAAGAGTGTTGGGAGAGTTGTTTCCTGCTATTGCGATTTCTACAAGGGCGATCCTGAGATAGGGTACTACTTTACCACCGGCCCGGATAATATGAAGGATGTTCGCTTAGTGCAGATGCAAGATGGGCGAATTGGCATTTTCACACGCTCGAACACCGATATTTACCCATGGATTGGTTTCACCATAATTGATCGGATTGAAGGTTTCACCCCCAAGGCCATAGAATCTGCGGAGCCTTTTGATGTGATGCACCCTGGGGTGATGGGTGGCGTTAGCCAGGCTTTTCAATTATCAAGCGGCAAGATTGGCTGTATCGCGCGATGCCATTATGATTCAAAGGACAATAACGATAAAGCGTTGTCGGTTTGCGTGAACTATTCCTTTGTTCTAGATCCTGAAACGCGTGAAGTGGATTTGGAGCGTATTATTGCCACGAGAGCATGCTTTCCACCTTGCCCAACAAAGTCTGAACATCTTGTCGAGTATGTTTTCTCTTCTGGTATTGTTATGCGGGATGATGGGAAATGTGACCTCTACAGTGGCATTTGCGATACTTCTCAGGGACGTGTTACGATTGACTACCCGTTTGAGGGCTACGGTGAGATAGTTGGTGATTTGAATTTTTAGACAAAACACAAACGGCACTAACGGGTACCACGGTAATGTATTTGGGGGTTAAGATGCATACATATATGTTTATATAACCGTTATGATCCTTTTCTTTTCTTGTGAGTGGCATTGCCCTGTATTCACGTGGGGGAAAGAAATGGTGAGGAGAGATTAAAGAGGAATGCTATGATTTATTTGCAAAGGTATAAAAAAGTGGTTGATCCCCCCGTTTTTTGTCACCATTTTTTTTTTATCATACGATATAATGTTTTATAATAGGATGTTTTTTTTCAAAAAAAATGTGAGCGGAAGAAGTGGTAGCATCTCTATACAAAATGTGCATGTGCACATACAAATCAAAAGAAATTCGATCTTATGCAATAGCGAATGAACAAATGAAAAAACTGAAACCAAATGCGTGTTGCAAAGTGATTGGCTCACCCTGATAGTTTTGTCCACTCGCTGCAGCTACGAATACCTAGGGTGACATCAAGAAGTAAAATTACGTTCAATCCATTTGTCCGTTTTCTTTTCCTTCTTTTTATTTTTGTTTCAACAAAGATGCGACTATTTTTCTTAAACGCTCACCATATTGGAGTTTTCTTCTGATGCAAATTTTGGAAGGTGACGATTTTAGAAAATGGGAGATGGATTAAGAGTGTGGCAAGTATCAACAGCAAGTTGAGCATGATTGTGGAAAATGTGAAAAGACAATAGCTAGTCAGGCTCTGCCACAACCGGATGTCATTAGTATACTGAAAAGAATGAAGCATATAAATTCAATTTTTTGTCGATACTTTTGCGTTTTTTTATTTTTGTAGAAGGTTAATAGTTTAATCACGTTGTATGTCTTCTTTTTTAATTCTTGACCACACTGTCTGGTTGACGGAAAAATCGGCCTTTCTTTAATGATATCGAAGTGATAGAAGCAGAGGAATATCCAGCTACTTGTTTTAAAATTACTCATTATGCTTCGTGTCCACGGAGTCTCGAACGCCGTATACGAAGATGTACTTTAATCTCTCGATGTATATTTTGTTGCCTACTTCTTCTCTGGTTAAGTGTTATATAAGGAATTGTCTTATAAGTTTATTATATTATCCCAAACAACCAATGCAAATTAAAGAGCAGAAGAAAGAATTTGAGGCGTCTAAGAAGCCGTATGAAAGCGTGTTGTTAACCTTCAAAGGCGTGGATGGCTGGGATGTATATAACTGTTCCGTGCCCTTTTTCTGGAAAGGCAAGAAGCACATGTACGGTCGCGTGGAAAAGCGCAGTGAGTGGGCCAATTCGCACGTACGCCTCTTCGTTGAAACTGGTAAGGATGAGTTTACAGTGCTCCCAGAATGCA